AATAATTTTAAAAAATTACATTCATTAAATTAAAAAAAGAAAGTGACATTAATTTAAACGACAATAATTCATTAAATGAAAATAATTAACTTCAACAAAAAAAGAACATTTAATTAAAAAATTACATTAATTAAATACTTAAAACAAATTATATTAAGCTTTGATCTCGTTATGTCTTCTCTCTAAAGTAGATTATATTCAATTGGTCATTTGACTCGAGACCGGACAAATGAACATAAAAAATGAAGACATTCATGTTAAAAAAGATGAAAAAAATTGAATATTTTTTTTAAATTTGAAGAAGATAGAGGAAAAGATTTTGTGGGTGTTTAATTTTTTTAAAAATAATTGAAGAAGAAAGATTTTGTTTGTGAGGTTTATTTTTAAAAAGAATAAATTGAAGAGGAAAATATTTTGTGGGTGTTTATAGGAAGAGTTTTTTTTTAATTTGATGAAGATGGGCAAAACGCCCATTAAAGGTTTAACGCAATCAAAATCACGCCCGGATAAAGCCCCAGGGGTGCGGTGTTTAACGCCCCTGAGGCGTTAAAAGTGCAGTCACGCCACTGGGCGTTACATGCATTACCAGTGCTCTGAGGGGCAGGTGGGAAATGGTCAAATCATTCCCTTCTGGCACCCGCAAACGTTTTCAAATCCCTTATTTTACCGTGTCTTTACTTTAACGGTCCATACTCTGCTCCTTTTGACTTTGTGGCACCACTCGAATCTCACCCGCCCGATTACCCACACCCCACCCATCTTGCATTTCCATTGTTTGGTCAATGGTCTTTTTTCAAATCCCTCTTCTCTCTCCTATCACTCTTCCACGTGGACCCCTCCCATTCGCTCCCCTCTTTGACTGTTATAAAGTCAGAAACAAAATATTTCGAATATTTAGAAAACATAAATTAAATGTGATGGAAAGAGAAAACTTAGCATCTTAAGTTTGACTCTCTGTTGCCCCTCCATTTCTCTCTCCATTTCTCTCTCCTCTCTGTTTTAATCGTCTCTGGACTTTGTTCTGTTTTTTACTTCTCCCACAAATTCCTTTCTCTCCCTCTCTTCACTCCATAGCCATAGAGATCTGTAGATATTGCTTTTGTTTTTGTATGGTGGAGTATTGATATATAGTGAGATGGCTGTGGAGTTAATGTCTGGTTACAAGAACACCGGATTCGCCGCCGCCATGACGGAGGACGACGCGGTCAAAGAGGCGGCCGCCGCAGGACTCCAGAGCGTTGAGAATCTCATCAGGCTGCTTTCTCAGTCCCGCCACCAGAATATTGGGTTTTCTTCCGCCGTGGAATCCTCCACCGGCGCCGATTACCATGCCGTTGCGGACGTCGCCGTGGGTAAGTTCAAGAAGTTCATTTCTCTGCTCGATCGGAACCGGACCGGACACGCCCGGTTTCGGAGGGGGCCGGTTTGCAACCCGCTGCGGAAGAAGGCGGATCGTGAGCCGGAACCGGAGGTGTCGGGTCAGTATCGGGTCGTTGACAGCTCGGAGAAGCCGCACACGGGCGGGCAGACGAAGGGGTATCCTCCGTCGCACGTTCAGGCCGTTCAGCTATTGCCGCCGCTTCCTCACGGCCACCACCAGCTCCTGAAGACTGGGTCCGCCGCGATCGAACGGAAGGAGCCGTCGGCGACCATCAATTTCTCCGCCTCCCAGGCGACTTCCGGCTCTTTCGTTTCGTCGCTGACGGGGGAAACAGAGAGCTTCCAGATAACGAATCTCTCAAACGTCTCATCCGCCGGAAGGCCGCCGCTGTCGACGTCGTCGTTTAAGCGGAAATGCAATTCATTGGACGATTCTGCCCTCAAGTGCGGTAGTGGTGGTGGGTCCGCATCTGGACGTTGCCATTGCCCAAAGAAAAGGTAAAAGTCAACGCCAAGGAATAATCATTTATTATTAATTTATGACATCTTTACTAATTAAAGATATTAAAAGGCATTGACAAATAAATATAACCCGTTGATTTGATCTTAAATAGGAAATCAAAGGTCAAAAGAGTAGTTAGAATCCCTGCAATTAGCATGAAAATGGCTGATATTCCACCCGATGATTTTTCATGGAGAAAATATGGGCAAAAGCCAATTAAAGGTTCCCCACACCCCAGGTATTTATCTCTAATCTCAATTAAATTTATAAACTTGTCTCTGGTGAACAAAAAGAAAAGATACCAGTTCTGATATTAAACTCATTGATTGCTGCTTTTGGAGCCTAGATAGGTTTCAAATGTGTCTTCCCCTATCATTTATCACTAAAATTATGATTTCAAATTTACCCAAAGACATTCAGTATTCACTTGGTACACAAAATTGAATTCACCAATTCCAATTTATTTTTTGCACTATCAATTCCAAATCCACATAATTTTTGTGATAACAAACACCAGAATTAAAATTAAAGTCCTCAATTTCAATTCCATAGTTTGAATTCCGTGTACCAAACGGGGCCTTAATTTTTACACTAACAATTCCAAATTCACCTATTTTTGTGGTACCATAATCAAAATTGAAATTGAAACTCTCAGTCAAGCAGCTTGAATTCTGTGTGCTAAATGGAGCTCCATTTCAATTTCATGCTCTTAATATTACAAAACCAAGTTTTTGATTAAATTAACATCAATACAATGGATTAATTGGGTTCTTTGAAAAAAATAAAATACTTTTTGTCAATCCATGAAATATGTAAAAGGTTCATACTACCTCCGTCCCACTCTTTTTGTCCAGTTTTGACTTTTGGAACTATTCATCTAAATATTTTGACTCATCAAATTCTCTCAATGTGTAAGTCTAAAAATAGTCATGTGTGATCTTGTTTGATTTGTCTTAACATATAGATTATTAATATATAATTTTTATAATTTTTTAATATACAAATTACAAGATAAAATGTATTAAAGAAATGCATTGGATGGTATGCAAAAATGAAAGTGGAAAAAAAGAATGGGACGGAGGAAGTATTTTACAAGTGAATGTTAAGATCATTAAAACTAAACTCTAATCAATTAGAATTGGTTTGAATTTCCAGGGGTTACTATAAGTGCAGTAGCGTACGAGGATGTCCAGCCAGAAAGCACGTGGAGCGGGCATTGGACGACCCGACAATGTTAATCGTAACATACGAAGGAGATCACAACCACTCACAGGCATTCGCGGAAACTCCGGCCTCCCTAATCCTCGAATCATCCTGACCGTCGGTCGAATCGGACGGCGCAGAGCCGGGGAGGGACGTACAGTAAGGTCAAAATCAGAGTAGAAAAATCAACGCCGTCCACGACAAAGGCGACGGTTTGGTCAACGTTGGGTGCGTCATGATTAGGTTCCCATATGATTTGTTCTCTCCGTTTATTCGCCGTTGAAAAAAAAAACAAATTTTAAAGATAAAGAGATTAAAAGGGAGTGGTGGATTTTGGTTGGAATTGAATCGTGTGTAAGCTGTTGTGGGGTCCATTGCATAATGTATGCTTTCCTAACTTATACGTGTCTTTTGTCCTCTTTAAATTATTATGATCAATGTTTTTTTTAATATTTTTTTAATTATACTTCCTTTTTAAATAATACTTGAGAAAAAAATTCCCCTCTTTAAAGGGTTTTTTAGTAATGTACAAAATTAATGTGGTGAACTATATTTATTAAATGTTTGAGGTATTTTTAATTCTAATTATTCAGTGTGTATGATAGTGTTGTAATTTAATAATTCTTTCGTCTCTTTAATTTCCTTTCGTAAATCTTTTCAATCCTTCCCGGTTCAATCGGGTTCATCTTGGGTATATGAATCATTTCAGGGTCGAGCGAAGGTCTGTAGGGCCTTTAAATGTCATTGTTAACAACACATCCTTGCTCTTATTAGAAACTTTGAATGTATTTAAGAAGAAAAATCAATTAAAAATGCTTTATATTCCAAAGTAGCTCTCCAATTTTTTATGAGAAAATAAAATTTATAATCTCAAATACTGCTAAAAGATAATACTAAAAATACAATTTCTCGACACAACGTTATATGTTTCAAAACGTCAAGTCATTAACAAATTAAATACTTGGTCCGTTCCTGAGTGTTTGTCCACTTTTGACTTTTGGAACTGTTCATCTAAGCACTTTGACTTATCAAATTCTCTCAATGTGTAAGCCTAAAAATAGTCATGTGTGATTTTGTTTGATTCGTCTTAACATATAGATTATTAATATATAATTTTTATAATTTTTTAATATACAAATTACAAGATAAAATGGATTAAAGAAGTGTATTGGATGGTGTGCAAAAATGAAAGTAGACAAACACTCAGGGACGGAGGGAGTAACAACCATGCATGTTGGATAAAAGGTAGGAGTTTTAATTCACACCTTTTAATTGTTAGTTTCAATTCACAAAGCACTTAATTCTCATAATTAAGACGTTATTCTTCATAAATTTTAGTCATACAATATTTTACATCATTAAAAAAAATAGATACCCTATGGATGAAGTATTAACAAGACCAAATCATTGGTGATGTGCTTGGGGAAAAAAAGTCAACAATACCCTAGTATTTTGTCAAATTGAGTTCTTCAAAACGAATAAATTGAAATACACAACAAAAGTACTCTAAACAGTTTATGCAAAGAAAATTGTAGCTCATTTATTCTTTTAACACGAGTAAGAAATAAATTTCACATGTTTGGGTTTAAGATATTTGATTCAAGATATTTTAATGAAAATATTTTTGAATATTGGGATGGAATTAAAAAATAAACTTATATATTTAAAAATTACACTAAAATTTTAAAAAAATAAGAAACGACATGACTTTATTATTTTATCAAATATCCCGAGTAAATAACGAACATAGAAAAGAATAAAAAAAATTGATCACATGAATAGTTAACTCATAATTTAAAAGAAATCTCTCATGATATGAATAAAAAACAGTAAAAAATTAAAATATAAGTTCTAAATCTTTTAATACCAAAATAAGAGTATAATGATAGTGTGGGGGTAAGAGTATGCATTGACAGTGTAATAGCAAAGTGATGATAATGTAATATATCACTGTAATCAGTCAATCGTCGGTGATCCGCGACGACACTCCGGTGGTGAACGGCGACAAATAACATTATAGCGGTGATAGTGTGGCATTACAAAGTGAAAATGTGGTGAATGTGGTAGTGTGATATCCTATTTTGGTCCTTAAAGACTTATTACTCCTATTTTTAGTATTTGCATTGTTTTTTACTCCTATCTAGAGAGTTATTCTTTTTAAATATGTAAATTTTTTTTTCTTTACCAATTTTTAAATAAAATAAATTGAAATAACTTAAAATTTAATTTATTTTGCATAACGTGACAAATATTTTGGGACTCATGTAGTATTTATCTAAAAATTGTTTATAGGAAAGAAATTTAATGAGTCAATTGTTATATTCTTTGGTAGAATTATAAAAACATTATTACTTGTATAAAGTTTATCACACCATGACCCCTTTAGTTTGGTAAATATACTTTGTTACTCTCTATGGTTTCAAAACTTACGCTGTTGTCTTTCATTGTTCTGATATTGCTACGTCAATATCCCTCTGGACTAAAATATTCTTCAAATATTATGTAAATAACTACACTGCCTCTATGAGTTTAAAAATTGGCACAAACGCCCCCACATTTCTTTATTGTTTTTCTTTTTTCTATTTTTTCACAAATGTTTTTTAATTTCATTCGTCTCAATTATACATTTTCATTTTTTGTCCAAAAAAGGTCTTTATTGATTCATTTTTATGATACGGAAATCAATAAAATATTCTCTTTTTTTCACTAATGCTCATTGAACATTTGTACTACATTGAGAAATAAAATCATATAATACTACATTAAAAAATGAAGACATATAGTATCACATTAGAAAAGTTATTACTGAGTATATTTTAGTACCCGGAGTATTATTTAGGCATATTTTTCCAAGTAATTACGGAGTATACAGTGGAGTAATTCTTGCCCGGTTGTCTTCTTTGTCGAAATGTCGAGATAATAGGGCTGCGGCCCGAATTAATATTTGGGCTCACCCTTTGTGCCGAACTAGACTCGTACCCGTGCGTTGCACGGCCTAATTATAAACTATATAATTAGAAAAAGCATTGATGAAAGAAAATGATAAAATTAAATTACAATAATATCATATAATCAAATAATAAAGACACGAAGTTCTATAGCAATACATTATCCATTTATTTATTTTGATTTGACATAAAATTTGCATCGAGCCACGTACCAATATTACTACGCACGTAGTTCCATATCAGTACACTACTTATTTATTTATCTTGATTTGATATAAAGTTCGTATCGAGCGACGCATCAACATAACTACGCACGCGGTTCCATATAAATACAGTACTCATTTATTTATTTTGATTTGACATGAATTTTGGAAAATGAAGTTATTAATCCATCCATTAAATGCTTGAAAATAGAAAAAGTATAAATTAAATGGATTTGATATAAAGTACATTGAGCAATGAGAGAGATTTGACACTACTTTTACTTTATGGAGAAATACACATATGATTTAACCTGAAGATGTCCAAGCTAGCAACCACGTCAGTCAGCCCACTTGGCCCGGTCCAATACCTGAACTCACTACTCGTACGTTCTCAATTACTTTATCTTCTTCTCTTTTCCTTTAGAACAAAGATTTCATTTCTTATATTGCCAAAAATTGGTGATTCAATTTTTTTCATTTCCATGTTTTCTAGCTTCTCACCAAACAACAAAAAGTCAAACTTGATTTCATTTACTCGTATGTTCCCTCCAAACACTTTCAATCCTTTTTTTCAAGACCCATATCTTTTTTTCATATTATAGAGTGGAGTAATTCTGGCCCGGTTGTCTTCTTTATCGAAATGTCGAGATAATAGGGCTGCGGCCCGAATTAATATTTGGGCTCACCCTTTGTACCGAATTAGTGCCCCAAACCCTTCATCTCATTTGTCTGTTTTTTTGTTGAAAAATCTCAATTGATTTTTGATATAACAGTTTATGATTTAGATTAATATCACACTTCTCTTTGAATTTTTTTCGATTTTGATTTTTTTCAGTTAATTATTTTCATAATTGACCTAATAATTTGATAAAATATACTCCGTATATTTTATATTCATTAGATAAAATACTTTCTCCGTCCAAACATTTCTTTCCCAAATTCACTTGCACGGAAATTAATAAAAGTTAAAAGGTGTAAAGATTTTCATGTGTTGTCCATGATGTAATGGTACATTGATTAATTTTTTTTTTGCCAAAATAGGAAACGGAACAAAAAAATTGGACGGCCCAAAAAAGAAAGTATGAAAGAAATTAATGGACGGAGGAAGTAATATTTTGTAAATATTTTATAAAATTAATCTAATAAAAATATTCTTGTATAAATATATAATATCAATTTTTTAATTGTGTAAAAATTTGTTAATTTTAACTAAAAAAATTAAAGAAACAAATACTCAAAGACGGCGGAGGGAGTACTATTTTGAAATCATTTTTCCAATTCTTAGTAAAAAAATTTAGAATTAAGATTTACATTTAAAGTTAAAATATTTATACAATCATTTTTCAAACAATAAGTAAAATAAGAGGATACATAATTGAAATATTATATTAAGTGATTGGTAAAAAATCCATAAAATCATCTTTTTACTTAGTCATTAATGTTTTCATAGTTTCATGAGTTTCATAGCTAATACTTCTATCTCATTCTCTGGTGATAGAGTCTCTCTAATCTTCTTCAAAGCACATATTTTTTCATCATTTTTTCTGAGTAAAGTGCATTGTTTACCCCCGTACTCTTTAGAAATTGCATGTTTTACCCCTGAACTTTAAAAAGTGCATTGTTTACCCTCGGACTCTTCGAAAATTGCACGATTTACCCCTGCACATTAAAAAGTACACCAAATATCTTTGAACAAATTAAACCGTTGCATCGTTGGTCCTAAACTATTAGACAGGGAGTGTGTTGCTTCCACGCACAAGAATTGCGAATATGATTCATCTGGCCCTTGGAAATCTCCAAAGTACCTTTCTCCAAAAATGTCGTTTTTATTTAAATATTGAGGATTAAACAATACAATTTTCGAAGAGTTCAGGAGTATTTGGTGCAATTTTTATTGTTCAGGCGTAAACCGTGTAATTTCTGAAGAATTCAGGGGTATTTGGTGTACTTTTTAATGTTCGGGGATAAATTATGCAATTTTCAAAAAATTCAATGGATAAAATAGGAAAATAACAATGTACTCGTACTTCATTTCATAATTAATATATTACCTGGAATTCAAATTAATTTGAAAGGAATAAAACGCTGGTTAAAAAAAGAAAACTTTTACTTTCCTATTTGACTTTCTTTTTTTTTTCTCAATTATTTTCATAAAAGAAAACCAATAAGTGGTTTAAACCAATTTTTTGTTTAAATAAGTACGGAGTTACTATCTACTCCGTATAATTTTTTGGTGGAAATGCAAATTCGTTTGCCTTGAATTTTAGACTATGTATAGTAGGGTTAGTTTGACCCACCGGCCGGAAGCAAGCGTCTTGCCCCGTCACGGCAGCGTGACTATAAGGACACTGTCGGCACGACAAAGAAGGTTTGACCGTGGTCACGACTCACGAGCATTGTCTCTCAATCTTTTTTTAAATTAATTTTTTTATATCAAAATTTAACAATCTTACAGGGTGTGTTCAAGAATGGATTTGTTAGAATTCTGAAATTCCGTAGCTATTCAATTTAGACTTTAAAAAGCCATTTAAAATCTAGATATTCTGAAATTCCGTAGGTATTCAATTTAGGCTTTAAAAAGTCATTTAAAATCTGGATGTATTCAATTCATATTTTAAAAAATATTTCAAAATCTATTGGTATTCAAAATTTGTTATATTCTTAAAAATTGTAAAAAATATGGATTTTGATGGATTTTTATGTGTTGGGTATAAATACAAATTCACTCTCAAATCTCACCAAAAAAGTAAAGATTTTGACAACTCCGTCAATCGTCTCCTTTGGTCGCCATTTCTTCTTCATCCTCTTCCATTCGCACGCCTTCTTCATCTTCTTCTAGTCGCCTTTCTAATTACTAAAACTCTACTTTTTATGTTTTGTATTATATACTTTGATGCTCTATTTTAATATATATCTTAATTTACTTAATTAAAAAGGTTTTTTATTAAGTAATTTAAAAAAAATTTAAAAAAGTTTCATATTAGTTTTTATTATTCTAAATAAAAGTAGTTCATATTGTATCTATTTTTAGGTTGCCTATTTTATTATTATTATTATTTGAATGGTAAAAAGTAAACATCAAAAAATATATATAATTGATCAAAATAATTTAAAAATACGTACTTCTATTCGGTCCGAACTGGTTCGGTCCTAAGTATACTAATTCGGTCCAAACCTGAATAGATTTAGGTCCAATCTTCAGTCCGTGATCTTATTGAATTCGGTCTTCGATCTAATCTGGGTCGATCCAATTCGATCCGATCTTAGACCGATGAACAACCCTACATCAAGACCCTTTAGTCTCGCCATTAAAAATGGCCTTAGCGTGTTTTATTCCAACTTACTCTTATTACTTCTGTTTATTGGAATCAATTTAGATCAGACTAGATAAGATTAGAAATAGCTTTAAATATAAATAAATTTAGAACAAATTAAATCATACCAAATTAGATCAATATTTATTCTAATCAAAATATAATCATTCAGATCAGATAAAAAAACTACCCTCTAAAAATGTCATCCTACCACGAGTCGAAAAACATGATTGCCGCCATAAAAAAAAATGCACAAGTATTTCCTCCCCGTTATTAATGGATGGATGATGATGAGCTAATTGAGCTGTTACTTCCATTAAATTGTTATTATCATACTCCGCAGCAATTAATGTTCTTCCCATTTATTAGTGTCTCACAGCTAAATTGCCAAAACTATATAGTTCAACTCTACCAGTCAGTATATGGTTTTCTTCTCCTTCATTTTAAATGCAATGTCTAAATTCTTGAAGCAGATAAAGACTACAAGCTTAGTGCCAACCATTACAAATCTACTCCTAAACACTTTTAGATTATGTCTCTCTCTGGAACCCCAACGTAGGAGAAGAGAAAATGGTTAATTACATTCTCACGAAAGGGATCATCCTTCTCGTTATCACCCTCCTCCTTCCGTTCATCGAAACCGCCGCCGGCTGCGGCTGCAATACAACCACCGCCCAGCCAGCAACTCCTCCTCCTCCGCCGCCAGCAGTTTTCGCAGATCACAGGCTAGCCAGAGTTCATCCCATCATCCAGAGATTCAAGAAGTCCATCACCAGCGACCCGTTTGGAGTGACCCGGACTTGGGTCGGCCCCGACGTCTGCAATTACACCGGCTTCTTCTGCGAGAGCCCGCCGGACAACAAATCCGCCATAGCTATTGCTTCCGTCGATTTCAATGGGTTTCGTCTCAAGGCCCCCAGTCTCGATGGGTTTCTTGATCAGCTCCCTGACATTGCGATCTTCCACGCCAATTCCAACTATTTTTCGGGCACGATTTCTCCTGAAGTCGCCAAATTGCCCTACCTTTACGAGCTCGATCTCAGTAACAATCTGTTCTCCGGGCAGTTCCCGGTTTCGATTCTTGGTATAAAGAGTCTGTCTTTCTTGGATCTTCGTTTCAATTCTTTCTCCGGGTCGGTTCCGCCAGCACTCTTCGCCATGGGTCTCGACGCCCTGTTCCTGAACAACAACGGGTTCACTCAGAGCATGCCGGAGGTTTTCGCCGGCCGGTATTACTACCTGACATTAGCCAACAACAGGTTCTCCGGTCCGGTTCCGGGCAGCGTCTGGGCAGCCCTGTCGGGATCAACGGAGGTTCTGCTGCTCAACAACTCCTTCGCCGGGTGCCTTCCTAACGAGATCGGGTTGTTGGAGGACGTTCTGATGATCGACGGGAGTTACAACCGGCTGACGGGGCGGTTACCTTGGTCGTTAGGGCGGCTGCGAAGGGCGGAGGTGCTGGGCTTCGCCGGGAATGAGATGTACGGGGATGTGCCGGAGGCGGTGTGCGCGCTGGGGAATCTGGTGAGCTTGTCGTTGGCGGACAACTATTTCAGCCGGGTCGGACCGGTTTGTTTGGGATTGATCGTGAGAGGGGTTCTTGATGTGAGGAACAATTGCATTCCAGGGATGCCGTTCCAGAGACCCATCTCTGATTGTTTAGATTTCTTTTCTTCTCCGAGATATTGTCGGCAGACATTTTCATAGCTCAAAGCTTCTTGTTTTTGCTTATCAATAGAAAGTCAACCATACATACATCCTTCAAATACTTTGGTCACACGCCAACTCATGTATATTAATACTCTATCCTTAAATCATTTACAAATTTTGACTTCAAAGTCAAAATCAATTTATAGAGTGAAATTGAAGGGGAGTGGGGGTGTGTTTGGATCAGGCGAGTGAGGGGTTTACCGGGTGATTATGAGGATAAGAACCGTCAATTTTACGAACGGAGCACCAGAGCAAGCTCAGATCATTCCATGACACATGATTTGAATGTCATAGAAACCCCATCATTTATACAATGTCTTTTCCGTACTTGGGCTTCCTAGTCGTTAGTCTACAACCTATTGGGTTGGGCCCACCGAGGTCAAGTCTTTTCATTGACGGTATAGAATCATGATTGCAAATTAGGGTGTCTACACTAATTTATAGACAATATGGTGACTATATACAATCGTACATACAATCATATCAGAGTGTCACATCGTGGGCTCGTTTATTAGACAAGGCATACAGACTCACACGCCCGTAGTGGGCCCATTGTGTTTAGCCGGTGGTAGAGGCCGAGTGCGCATGCTTTGTTGTTGGAGGACAGCCGTGGAGGATCCGACCGGGTCCGTCTCTAGGTCCGAGTGGATGCATCCGCATTGAGCAGGGATACATGTTCGAGTACGAGTGTCATTTTGAGGTCTTGGTTTCCTTTCAAGTCTTGCTTAGCCGAGCGAGGGCTCCTTTTTCCGAGCTTGTCTAGATCGTTTGATTAGACGTGCCTTGTTGGACCGCTTATTCTGTTGGGCGAGATACTCCCAGTCCTAAGTATTCATCACTCACAATTTTTGGTCAAAGAATTTCAATGTTTGAAAAAAAGTCTAAACATGAAGAGGTCTAGAACTGCAGAGAGTATAATACAATTGATCAAAAAACGTATCCCCATGACAGATTATGGTTACACTTATGTTCTTTATGATTCTAACATTATTAAGTAAATTTAGTTATGATCTAAAGATCGTCGCTTTTATTAGATTATGTTTGTCAAATCATATATGATTTTCACTCCATTTATATTGTTTTACTTCATTTCAATGCAATTGTAGTATTAGGAAACAAATTGGTAAATAAAGTTTACATAGCCCAAATAAACTACTCCCTCCGTCCCGCTATATTCGTCCACTTTTGACTTTTGGAACTGTTTATCTAAACACTTTGGCTCATCAAATTCTCTCAATGTCTAAGTCTAAATATAGTCATGTGTGATCTTGTTTGATTTGTCTTAACATATAGATTATTAATATATAATTTTTATAATTTTTCAATATACAAATTACAAGATAAAATGGATTAAAGAAGTGTATTGGATGGTGTGTAAAAATGAAAGTGGACAAATACTCTGGGACAGATGGAGTATGTATCAGCTTGATAAAGGATTATCTTTGAAGTTTCAACAAATACAATTTTAGTAATTTATGTTTCATTATGATTATAAAAATTAGGATCAAATATTGTCATTTATAAATTATTTTTGGTATTTTACTTACCGTTAATTTTATATTATTATTTCACAACTAAGAGTAAAAGTAGGGTTGGAAGTAATAATGTTAGATGACTTTTATAGTTTAATAACATCAAAAGTAAATTCTATAAAAGGTCCCTAGTTATAGGTCGTTTTACACATTTAGTCCCTACATATCAAATACTCCACAAATGGAGTATTACTAATTTTGTTCCTAATTATTATATTTATTTCCACAAATGGTTCTTTGTTAACATTTCCTTTAAGAACATGAATAAAATTGTAAATTCACACTCCTTTCTCTCCTCAATTAAGCTTCCCCTCTCTCCTCGCACTCCTTTCCCAAACCCGTCGCTGAGTTTGAAGCTTTGAACACAAAACCAAAATCATCACTCTTCTCTCAATTGTTTGTCTAACTGGTGGAACCCAAATTCGAAACAAGTAACCTTCATTGATGAGTTTTAATATTTATTTTCTTTGCAATTTTTTGAGACTAGCCGATAAAACTCATGCATAAAGCTTATTGGTTTTGATTTTAGGTTTCACTAGGAAGACTAATAATTGAGTGAGGAATGATCATTTCAGTTTTGGGTTTAGAGCTTCAAACTCACAGACGAGTTTGGGAAAGAGTACGAGAGGAGTGCGGAAGCTTAATTGAGGAGAGAGAGAAGTATGAATATACAATTTTATCAATGTTTTTAACAAAAACGTTAACAAAAGACCATTCGTGAAAAATGATATAATAATTGCGGACTAAATTAGTAATATTTGATATGTAAAAACTAAATATGTAAAACGACATATAACTGGGAACTTTTTATGGAATTTACTCTAACATCAATCAGAAATATTGTATAGCTCACAAATTTTCAAATTCATATAGTAAAACTTTTATTAGCAAATATTGCATATTTGATCAATATTCTTAACTTTTTTTGTCGATCTTTTATTTTATTTGATTTTTTTAAAATATTGTAGCAAAGGAAAATTTCTCATTTTGAAAAAATAAATTCATTCTACCCCATGTATGACACCTGTTATAATATTAATTAAATTAAAAAACTTTACAGTTTTCATAATCAACAAGTGGATTGATATGTGGCCAAAGTGCCAAACCACTGAGAAAAGAAAAATGCTAGGGGTACACAAAAGGTGTACCCCATTTGTCCCCCACCCCCTGCATTATCATATAAATGGACAAGAATTTTAAATAAATAAATAAATAAATTAAAATTAGATAAAAATGAATGATAGAGAAGGGGATAGGGGATAAATGGGGTATACCTTTTGGTGTACCCCTAGCATTGCTCCACTGAGAAATGAGTGAATGGTTAATGGAGCCATGTTAGAGGTACACCAAAGGTGTATTCCATTTGTCCCCACTCCTTTCTCTACCACTCATTTTAACCTCATTTTTATTTATTTAATTTTGTTTTAATTTCTTACCCATTTTTGTGGTAATGGAAGGGATGAGGCATTTTTCATAGTTAATGCCATGGGAATTCCCCCACCCCTCTCTCTCTCTTGGTTCTCTTCACGTGATTCTCTGACTGTGTGTGACTCCCCACACTATCTACTTTAACAGCTCCTCCCGTTTTAACTCTACGCCGTCGCCTCCGTTTTCCTCGCCTCCCTTTCCCCCCACCCCGAAATCCCAAACCCTATTCCGCTCTTCCCCTGGTATAAACCCTAAACTGTAAAATTCATCAAACAATTTCTCACCAGAAATGGCAGGTTTCCTTCTGGTATTGCTTTTCCCGCTCCTCCTTTCCGGCGTTCTTCCTTCCTCTTCTCTTCATTCCAGTCCGTTGTTGATACCCTCGGACGCTTCGGCATTGTTGGACTTCAAGCTCAAGGCGGACTTGAAAGGGAATAAGCTCCGCGGGTTTTCTTCCAATTCCAGCTCCGGTTTCTGCAAATGGAGCGGCGTCCGGTGCCGGGGAGACAGGGTGGTCCGTTTCGCGTGTGAAGGAGTGGGTCTCGACGGGACTTTCGCTCCGGCGACTCTTACCCGTCTTGACCAGCTCAGAGCTCTCAGCTTACAGAGCAACTCCCTCGCCGGACCTATTCCGGACCTTTCCGGTCTGGTTAACCTCAAGCTCCTCTATCTGGACCATAACCTCTTCAGCGGCCTCGTACCGCCGTCGATTTCCACTCTTCGCCGCCTCAAAGTCGTCGATCTCTCTTCTAACAACCTCACCGGCGCAATTCCGGCTTCATTCGACCGCATGGGCAGGCTGTACTATCTCCGCCTCGACTCCAACCGCCTCACCGGCTCTGTCCCGCCGCTCAACCAAACCACTCTCCGGATCTTCAACGTCTCCCACAACGCTCTCTCCGGTCCGATTCCTGTAACCGCGGCCCTGTCCCGCTTCAGAAGGACAGCATTCCGATCAAACCCGGATTTGTGCGGCGAGATTATTCACCGGGAATGCCGCCCCGTGCAGCCATTTTTCCGGCCGTCCACGGCCACCCCAACCCCGCCTCCTCTGCCACCGAGTCAAAACGCACAGCTACACGACGGAGGAGGAGGAGGAGGATACAACTCCGACAAGAAACCCAAGAAATCAGAACAAAAACGGCACATTCTCATCGCCGGGTTATCAACCGGATTCTTAATCCTGATTTGCTCGGCCCTCTGTTTCGCCATGGCAGCCAGCAGGAGGTCAAAGTCAAAGGAGCCATTCCCGTCTTCACCTGGTCCCAAAATAGCCATGGATACCGAAGCAGTGATGAGGATAGAGCAAGAAAGCTGCGAGCTGGAGGAGAAGGTGAGGAGAGTCCAAGAAGTAATGGGGAAGAGCGGGAGCCTGGTATTCCCTGCAGGGGAGGCGCAGGGGTACACGCTGGAGCAGCTGCTGAGAGCCTCGGCGGAGCTTCTGGGGAGGGGGACGATGGGGACCACGTACAAGGCGGTGCTGGACAACCGTCTGATTGTGTGCGTGAAGAGATTGGACGCCGGGAGGATGAGGGGGACGGGTAAGGAGGAGTTCGAGCGGCACATGGGATCTGTCGCCGGGCTGAGACACCCCAACCTGGTTCCTCTCCGGGCTTATTTTCAGGCTAAAGAAGAGAGGCTTTTGGTCTATGATTACCAGCCCAATGGCAGTCTCTATTCACTCATCCATGGTAACAACCTTAACATTCTTTTTAATTTCTAGTTCATTAATTAGAACTTCTTTAATGGAAGATTCTTATATTAAGGATCTTACGATAATCTTACTCAAAATCTCTCCTTAAACAACCCACTAAAGATGCTCTTAATTGCATAGAACCGTTTACAATTAGTATTTTTGTTTGGATTAATCGAGTGAAAAAACACGTAGTTCAACCAATGTAGGTTGATTGGAACTTGGAAGAGACGATGTTTGAAAGTAGAACTTTGCATTAGAAAGTTTTGGAAAACATTTGATTTGAAAAATGCAATCCCTTTGTTTTGTACTCCGTAATATGAATCTTTTGTGTGAAAAAGGTTTGAAATTCGAATACAACCGAACCGTTGTTACATTGGTATTTGTTCAGAGAAGAAAGTGGTCATAGTGTGTTGCCCATAGTGTGTTGGTTCTCACCATTTCTATAGAAGGATAAAAGCTTTGGGAATCCATTATTTCTTACAACACAACACTAACTATTTGAATTTTGAATGAGTAGAGAGTTAGCACTTTTTGTCAATAATTTCAC